ATCTGTGTGCAAACCTTGAGATAAGAAATGCTGACTGAGAAATGCCATGGAATAGGACAGACATTGTTGAGAGAGAAATGGAACTAGGAACAAGTTTCAAAGGATGGCCTTGCAAGTAAGACTAGATACTTTAGAGAAATAAAACTATGAAAGATGCATTTTAGATTGGCTTTGAGGCATTTACAGCATGGTGTGACAAAAGCTGATAGGCCAAGAAATGCTTATAATGTAATCAGGAATATTTGGCTTCTGATTGCAATGGCATGAATTATTACATATCTATTGTCTCACCCTTCTCACGAGACTGAAAATGGAATAAAAGTTTTTAAAACAACTCTCAGTTGCCCCATCTCTGGGTCAGAAAAAGGTTAAATCTGACAAAAATCCACTTTTTTTTTGCCTTCTCCCTGCTGTCCTTGCTGGCTGTGGGGTGCTGGGGGGAGGACGTGGGGAGGAAGCAGGAGGAAAAGAGACGGGAAAAGGAAATTTTCCATGCCTGGGGGAGGGAAGGGCTCTGCATGGAGCACAGCTGGCTCCTCATCCCTTCATTCTCCAGGAACAGAGGAGCTTTTCATTCTGGAAAAGCCTCTGAGAAAGGGCACAGCTCTCTCCAAGGAGCAGGAACGGCCTGGGCTGACATTGCCGAGAGAGAGGTGTCACATTCACATTTTCTGCAAAATCCCTTCGCCCAGGATTTTTCTCCTGGGAAGCTGAGAATCCTCAGAGAAAAATGAAAAGATAATAATGAAACTCGTAACTCTTTCCAGAGGCTGACCCAGCCTGGCCCTGATTGGCAAAGAGTGAAAATAACTCACAGCAAAAACTAATCAAACAATCACCTGTGGGTAAACAATCTCCAAACACATTCCAAAGGAGCCAAACACAGGAGAAGCAAATGAGATAAGAATTGTTTTCCTTTTCCTCTGAGGCTTCTCAGCTTCCCAGGAGAAAAATCCTGGGCAAAGGGATTTTTCCAGAGAATGTGAGTACCACAATCCTTTTAAGAAATCCCTGCTTTATCCTTGAGCTCAGCCTAGTCTCAGTTCTAGCTCAGCCTTCCCAAGGCATCACTGGTCACTCCTGAGCGTTCTGGAAAGGGAGGAAATTTGGGAATGATCCTCCTGAGCCCCAGATCCCAACTGTGGAAAGCAGAGCTGTGCAGCATTTCCATGGTGATAATGGGAATTTTCACCAGCAGAAACAGTCCTGATCCACAGAGCTGCTCCTGGGTGTGTCCCAGCACCTCCCTCCTGCCCCGACTGAATCCTGGCCTTATTTTTTGCAAGAATTATTTTGCAAGAATTAACCTTGCAAACCCCAGCCCTGTGGGTTTTTGGCTCATTTTTATGCACATTTTTGGGTCATTCTTATGCACATTTCTTCTCCCCACACACCTGGACTACTGCAGGCTTTGAGGAAGGAAAATAATCCAAAAAGAATCATTTGGGATGGAGACATCCCCAGCTGAAATTCCCCCCGGAAGCTTTTGCATTGTTAATTATGAGCAGCATGGGTTTTAATTCTGAGCGTGTTTTGGTGTTAAAACCTGCTTTTGTTTCCAACCTTTTTCATTTTTCCTGAGTTTTAAATTTTTGTTTTGTGTTTCTGTTTAACCCTCACAAATCTCCAGGTGCTCAGAGCTCCCTTTGTGCCCCAGGAGCCGAGCAGCTGAGAAATCAAAGCTGTGCTGCTGCTTTTACCAGCGGGACTGGGGGGACAGGGGACAAAATCAGGGCTCTGGGCTGGTGGGGAGCCCTGCCCTGGGCACTGCTGCCAGCTGATGTCTTTTGGGGGGGATCTGTGTGGTTTTGGGGGATTTATGTCTTTTGGGGATGATTTATGTCTTTTTGGGGGGGATTCATGTCTTTTTTGGGGAGATTTATGTCTTTTTTTTGGGGGATTTATGTCCTTTTTGAGGGACTTAGGTCTTTTTGGTGGGACTTGTGTCTTTTTTGGGGGAATTTATGACTTTTTTGGGGGGATTCATGTCTTTTTTGGGGGGATTGATGTCCTTTTTGAGGGACTTAGGTCTTTTTTGGGGGGAATTCATGTCTTTTTTTGAGGGATTTATATATTTTTTGGGAGGATTTGTGTCTTTTTTGGGGGGATTTGTGTCTTTTCGGAGGATTCCTGTCTTTTTTTAGGGTGATTTATGTCTTTTGGCGGGGAATTTATGTATTTATGGGGGGGTTGTCTTTTGGGGGGGATTTATATCTTTTTGGGGGGATTTGTATCTTTTTTTTGGGGGGGGGGTTAATGTCTTTTTTTGAAAGGGATTTATGTCTTTTTTTTTTTTTATGGAATTCCCTGTGTCCCCTCCTTCTGTTTTAAAAACCTTTATTCCATTTTCAATCTCATAAAAAAAGTAAAACAAATTTTACAATTCGCACCATCACAATCAAACCCCAACTATTTCCTAATTACAAAACATTATAAATAGACTATAAATATATATGAATAAAATATAGAAATATATATATTTTATATATATATATATAAATAAAATATAAAACTTTACCACACCCTACTATAAATACCTGAAAACCAATCATCTAAAACTACCCCTCATAAATCCTACTTCATCTTTCATCATTCCATTTCTCTAAAGCATCTAATCTTATTTATAAAACTATCCACTAAAACTTTTTTTTTTTCCTCTCAACAACATCCATCCTATTCCCTAACATTTCTAGATCACCATTTCTTATCTCAAAGTGTGTATATGTGCAAAATCCTCTCTTGCCTGCCGGAGGAAAAAAAACAACAACATGGAATGGTTTAAATATAACAGCTCTGGGGTTATTTTAACTCTCAGCTTTCCATTTTCAGCTCTCCCTTCCGATCTGTATCTTTTTTTGGGGGGTTAATGTCTTTTTTTGAAAGGGATTTTTGTCTTTTTTTTTTTTTATGGAATTCCCTGTGTCCCCTCCTTCTGTTTTAAAAACCTTTATTCCATTTTCAATCTCATAAAAAAAGTAAAACAAATTTTACAATTCGCACCATCACAATCAAACCCCAACTATTTCCTAATTACAAAACATTATAAATAGACTATAAATATATATAAATAAAATATAGAAATATATATATTTTATATATATATATATAAATAAAATATAAAACTTTACCACACCCTACTATAAATACCTGAAAACCAATCATCTAAAACTACCCCTCATAAATCCTACTTCATCTTTCATCATTCCATTTCTCTAAAGCATCTAATCTTATTTATAAAACTATCCACTAAAACTTTTTTTTTTTTCCTCTCAACAACATCCATCCTATTCCCTAACATTTCTAGATCACCATTTCTTATCTCAAAGTGTGTATATGTGCAAAATCCTCTCTTGCCTGCCGGAGGAAAAAAAACAACAACATGGAATGGTTTAAATATAACAGCTCTGGGGTTATTTTAACTCTCAGCTTTCCATTTTCAGCTCTCCAGCTCTGGGTGTTGCAGCTTTCCCCTGCAATCAAGGGGGTGAGGAGCTTCCTGTGCTCCGCAGCCAGGAAAGGCCCAAAGCACCCTCACTTTGGGGGTCCCTTTCCAGTGCCAGGGCTCCCAAAATTTTGGGGTTTTCCCTCTCTAGTGGTTTTGGTTTGCTAATCTGAGATTTCATTTGATATGAAAAAGCAAAAAATTATTTTTTGATTTTTCAAATTTGAGATCAAAATTGAAAAATTGAGATTTCCCAAAAAAAAAAAAAAAAAAGGTTTTTTTGTTTTTTTGGGTTTTTTTTTAACCTCTAATTTGAGGTTAATTTAGGTTAATTCCCTAAATACCTCCTGTGCTTTTGCCCAGCACGGGGCAGGGAAATCATTAACCAGGATGTTCCTGGGAAGCAGGCTGGGCATCACCTGGCAAATTCCAGCTGCCTCTCGTCCTCCCCACAGGAGATGGCTCAGCCTTCCTGCCTGCTTCCCTGCACCTCATCCTGAATCTGAGGTCTCCAAAATCCCAAATTTGAGATCTCCAAAATCCCCGGTTCTGTGCACCTTATCCTGACTTTGAGACTTCCAAAATCCTGAATTTGAGACTTCCAAAATCCCGAATTTGAGATCTCCAGAATCCCAAATTTGAGATCTCCAAAATCCCTGGTTCTGTGCACCATGTCCTGACTTTGAGGTCTCCAAAGTCCTTGCTTTCCTGCACCTCATCCCAAATCTGAGCTCTCCAAAATCCCTTGTTCCGTGCATCTCATCCCAAACTTGAGATCTCCAAAATCCCAAATTTCAGATCCCCAAAATCCCTGGTCCCATGTATCTCATCCTGACTTTGAGATCTCCAAAATCCCGAATCTGAGATCTCAAAAATCCCTGGTTCTGTGCACCCCAGTCCCCTGGGGCTGCGTGTCCCACCTTTGAGGGCCCCACCTGGCCCCATGCACCCCATTTCCTCAGCCCTGTGCACCCCAACATTCCCTGCCTCTGTGTACCCCAATCCTCTGCATTGCTGTGTCCTGCTCCCCTGGCTCCCGGCACCCCAAATCCCAGGCTCAGGGTGTACCCAGTCCCCTGGCTCCCTGCACCCCAGTCCCCCAGCTCTGTGCCCCCAGTGCCTGTACCCCAACCCTCAGGTTCCCGACACCCCCAATCCCTCTGGCCTGGTGCCCCCCAACACCCACGGCTCTGTCAACCTCAGTCCCTAATTCCCAGGCACCCCAATCCTTGGCTCAGTGCTCCCTAGTCCCCCTGCTCAACACTCCCCAATCCTCCTCTCCAGGCTCCCCAATGCCTGGCTCCAGGCTCCCTGTTCCCCATTCCCGGCTCCCCAGTCCCCTGGCTCCGTATTCCACTCCAGGCTCCCCAGTCCCCTGGCTCCGTGTCTCTCCAGGCTCCCCAGTCCCCATTCCCAGCTCCCCAGTCCCCATTCCCGGCTCCCCAGTCCCCTCGCTCCGTGTCTCTCCAGGATCCCCAGTCCCCATTCCCGGCTCCCCAGTCCCCTGGCTCCGCGTCTCTCCAGGCTCCTCCCGCCGTTCCCGGCAGGAAGCGCTCTCCGCCAATCGTGCCGGGGCCGCCGCCCGCCGCCCGCGCTGCCTCCGCCGCGGGCCCGGTGAGTGCCGGGGTTCCGGGGGTCCCGCGGGGCGGCTCCAGCCCGGGGGAGCCGCGGGGCCGCCCCGCTGCGCTGCCGCTCCCGCGGGCCGCGGCTCGGCGCCGGGCGGGGTTCCGGGCCGGACGGGGGGAGCGAGGAGGGAGGGAAGGTGGGAGGAATGAATGGGGCTCCCCCGGGGGGTTCGGGGAGCCCCGGGGGGCTGCGGGGAGTCCCCCCGACCCCCGAGGCGCAGGCGGGGGTGGGTGCGGGGAGGGTGACACCCCGGGATGCTCGGAGATCCCACTGGAAGCTCCTTCTTGGCTGTCCGGGGCTGAAGGCGGCCCGCGGTCCCGGGAGGAAGCGCTGGTTCCCCTTTTCCCCGCCGAGACAAGGGAGAGCCCGCCCAGCCTTCCTCCGCCCGCCGGGTATCCCGAGTCCCAGTCCCTTCCTCCCGGCAAGGATCACCCCGAATGCCAGTCCCTTCCTCCCGGCAAGGATCACCCCGAATCCCAATCCCTTCCTCCCGGCAAGGATCACCCCGAATCCCAATCCCTTCCTCCCGGCAAGGATCACCCCAAATCCCAGTTCCTTCCTTCTGTCAAGTATTGCACCCCAAATCCTCATTCCTTCTTCGTTCCCATTATTGCACCCCATGTCCTTGTCCCTTCCTCCCGGCAAGGATCACCCCAAATCCCAGTTCCTTCCTCCCGGCAAGGATCACCCCAAATCCCAGTCCCTTTCTTCTGTCAAGTATTGTCACCCCAATTCCTCATCCGTTATTCCTTTCCAGTATCACCCCAAATCCCTTCCTCCTTCCCGGTATTGCACCCCAGATCCTTGTCCCTTTTGTCAAGTATTGCACCCTAAATCCTCATCCCTTCCTCCTCCCAATATCACCCCAGATCCTCATCCCTTCTTCCTTCCCAGTATCCCCCCAAATCCTCATCCCTTCTTCCTTTCCAGTATTGCACCCCAAATCTTCATGACTTCCTCCTCCCAGTATCACCCCAAATCCTCATCCCTTCCTTCTGCCAAGTATTGCACCCCAAATCCGTGTCCCTCTCCAGGCTCCCCAGTCCCCATTCCCGGCTCCCCAGTCCCCTGGCGCCAAGTATTGCGCCCCTAATCCTCATCCCTTCCTGCTTCCCAGTATTGCACCCCAAGTCTTTGTCCCTTCCTCCTTCCCAGTATCACCCCAAATCCTCATCCCTTCCTCCTGCCACGTGTCCCCCCGAATCCTCGTCCCTTCCTAGCCCCAAACACCCCACCCTGAGCCCCCGGTGGGATTTGGGGGCCGTGTCCCACCTTTCCACAGCCCATCCCCACCGAGCCCCACGTGGGCATTGCTGCTGCACACCCACAACTTGAGCAGGGACTAAAAATAGTCCTGAGCAGAGCCCGGCTCTTGGCTCAAGGAGAGGGGCAGAGGGGGGGCTGACCCAGATACCCCAAAAATTAAATTTTTACTTAGTTTCCTGCTCTGAAATAATCTTTCCTTAGTTCACTTAGGGAGAGAAGTCTTTCTGTTGATGTTATGGAGATTTTTGGGAGGAAGGAAGTCAGTTCTCTCGTGGCTCTTTTACAAATATCACCAAATATCATCGAATAGCAGCTGCCCAGGGAAATTTATTATTTGAAATTTATTATTTGTTATCCTGAAGCCCCTCTTGTTTCCTACAAGCCTTCCCACAGCTTGTTTATGGGTTATGTTCACTGGTGGGCTATTGCTTTAAGGATGAGCTGTTTAAAGGTAAAAGTTCTCACTATCTATCTCTAAAATCATCTTCATCCCTGAGAACAGAGATTTCTTTTTTTTTCCTGAGGGCACAGGGTTTCATCACTCTTTTCTTTTTCTCTCTTTAAACTTTTCATGGGATCACAGCTGCCTTAACATCTGCTTATTTTAGTATGGAGGTCTTTGCTCAATATTAATCAAACCCTTCATCTCCCAATAGTTCCATGCATTATAGGGAAAAAGAGTCTTTTTCTTTATAGCTTACAAGAGGATTTTAACCCTAAAATTAAGGCATCTCCTCATCCCTCCCATCTGGGACTTCTTTTTCATCAATGTCTTCACGTTGTTCTTTTATGTCTTGTTCCTTCCTCTCACTGGAGGGAGGATTGAAGCCCTGAAAGGGTTAACATCTTCCTTGGGGCTTGGGTCACTGGGAGGCCAGGATTTCTCCCTGGACCCTGGGTGTTTCCTTGACACCTCGGGGGATAATTTGGGATTATAAAAAACCACGGAAAGGGTGAGGTGAGGTTCTGAGGGATTTAATTATTCCATGGCTTTCTGGAGGGAGGTTTTTGTGGGATTCTTTCTGTTACAATTTGATGTCTTGGAGATCCCTCCGCAGTCGTGGGGAAACTGAGTCACGGCAGCAGGAGGGTTGGGGACACGGGTGTCCCTTTCCTGTGACTCCCTGAGCCGGTCTGGCAGGAGCTGTAGGGTCACTGTAGGGCAAAGAGGATTTGTTCAATGTCCCCAGGAGAAGGGGACGGTTCCAGGGGGGATGAGTTGGGGTTTTCCTCTCCCCCATTGTCCTTTCCCTCCTTCCCGGCTGCCTGGGATGGGTCTATTTCCTGTGACTCCCTGAGCCGGTCTGGCAGGAGCTGTAGGGTCACTGTAGGGCAAAGAGGATTTGTTCAATGTCCCCAGGAGAAGGGGACGGTTCCAGGGGGGATGAGTTGGGGTTTCCCTCTCCCCCCATTGTCCTTTCCCTCCTTCCCAGCTGGGATGGGTCTGGTTGGGAAAAGGTTGGGACAGGGGTGGGAAAAATCCTGGAGTGTTCGCTTTGCCTCGTGCTGGGGAGGGAAGGAGAGGGAAAGCGCTCCTACGGCTCTTGGGATAGAAACAGGCCTCAGTTTCCCCCATTCTGTGTGCCTCAGTTTCCCCCATTCCCTGTGCCTCAATTTCCCCTTGTGCCTCAGTTTCCCCTTTGTGCCTCAGTTTCCCCCATTGCCTGTGCCTGTTTTCCCTTTGTGCCTCAGTTTCCCTCTATACCTCTGTTTCCCTCTTACCTCAGTTTCCCGCATTCCCTGTACCTCAATTTCCCCCATTCCCTGTGCCTCAGTTTCCCTCTATACCTCTTTCCCTCATCCCTCAGTTTCCCCTTGTGCCTCAGTTTCCCCCATTTCCTGTGCCTGTTTCCCCCTTTGTGCCTCAGTTTCCCCTCGTGCCTCAGTTTCCCCGTGGGAGCTGAGCCGAGCCACCCTTTGGCACTGCCATTGTCCCAAGTAAAGGGGATTTAGGGAATGGTGCCACAATTGTTCCTACTGCACCCCAGGAAAGCCGTGCCCTGACCCCACAGGGGTGGCAGTGCCGGTGCCAGGAGCTCTGGGCAGGGGCCTTGGCATGGGATGGCACAGGGAGGGGACAGGGAGGGGACACAGCGGCACCCGGGGATGGGATGGGACAGGGAGGGGACAGAGAGGGGACACAACGGGACCCTGGGATGTGCTGGGACATGGAGAGGACTCAGGGGAACCCTGGGATGGGATGGGACAGGGAGGAGACACAGCCGGACACGGGGATGGCATGGGACAGGGAGAGGACAGGGACAGGACACAGCGGGACCCTGGGATGGGCTGGCATGGCCCAGGGAGGGGACAGTGCGGGACCCGGGGATGGCCAGGGAGGGGACAGGGAGGGACCCGCAGTGGCGCTCTGCCCGGAGCTGTTCCTGCCGCGGGTCACGCGGCTCCTCGGGAATGCGGCGGGGCCGGGCACTCTGCCCTCACTCCCGCGCGTCCAGCTCCGCTCTCATTCCCCTTCTCCGGGCACCCATCCCGGGGCTTCTGCCTCCCTGCGGGCGGGGCTGAGCCTCTCGGCCCCGGGGCTGCCGGGAATCCTCAGCCCTGTCCCTTGGAGCTGCTCCCGATGGGCTTGGAGCGAAATCCCGGCCCCTGGGAGCTCCTCTTGGAGCATGGGGCTGGAGCGGATAGGAGCGGATAGGAGGGGAGGGAAGGGAAGGGAAGGGAAGGGAAGGGAAGGGAAGGGAAGGGAAGGGACTCACAAGCCACAGCTGCTGCCACCAGCTCCATCAGTGCTGGGAATGCAGCGATCCCTTGGAACGTGCCAGGCTGGAGCTGAATCCCTTCCCGTGGTGTCTGATGGGGTGGTGCTACCAGGAATGGCTGGTGTGGGATCCCCAGGATCCCTGGGAATGACTGCAGTGGGATCCCTGGGAATGGCTGCCATGAGATCCCCAGGAATGGCTGCTGTGGGATCCTTGGAAATGACTGGTGTGGGATCCCTGGGAATGGCTGGTGTGGGATCCCTGGGAACGCCATGGGATCCCTGGCCTGTTCCCTTCCCTCGCTCTGTCCCTCCATCCCAGCACCATCCCAGCCTTTCCTTGTGTTTTCCCCCAGTGCAGGATTCCCAGAAGGATCCTCCTGCCGGGATTCCCGCTCCTGCTCCCTCATCCCGGCTCTTCCCGTGCCAAGGATGCCCTTCCCGCTGCTCATCCTGGCACTCGGCCTGGCAGGTGAGTGGGGCTGGTGGCAGCGCCCCGCAGGAGATGTCCCAGTGCCACCCGTGTCCCAAGAGAGCCGTGCCCCGAGCTGGCATCTCCTGGATTGGTGCTCCGTGGGGTGACAGCCTCGGGTGGCAGCTCCTGGCAGGGGACAGCTCCTTCCTGCCACGGGATCACTCAGTCCTGGTGGATCCCCGTTCCCAGGAGCGCTGTTGGCAGTGCCAGCTCAGTTCCAGCCAGGCTGGCTCCCGGAGTTTATTACCTGGACAGAGCCGAGGTGTTTGGGATGTGCCCGGAGCCAGGCCGGCTGTGAGCCCGGTGCCCTCTCCCTGCCCGTGTCGGGGCCTGGCACGGCCCTGCCCGCCCTCCTCATCCTCCCAGCACGGCGTCTTCCCAAAAATTCCCTGTGCCATCCCTGCCCTCATCACCTTGCGGGATGTGTTGGCCATGGGAAGGGACTGAAATTGTGCCAGGGCACTGGGAAGGGACTGGAATTGTGCCATGGCAGTGGGATGGAGCTGGAATTGTGCCATGGCAGTGGGATGGGGCTGGAATTGTGCCATGGCACTGGGATCAGCTGGAATTGTGCCAGGGCACTGGGATGGGGCTGGAATCATTGCATGGCACTGGGATGTGTGCCATGGCACTGGGATGGGGCTGGAATTGTGCCATGGCACTGGGATGGGGCTGGAATTGTGCCAGGGCACTGGGATCAGCTGGAATTGTGCCATGGCACTGGGATGGGGTTGGAATCATTGCATGGCACTGGGATCAGCTGGAATTGCACTGTGCCACCCCGGCTGGCACTGTGCTGGAGCACTGGTGCCACCTAGCGCTGCCAGCCTGGCCAGGGCTGGCTCCTCCTGGGGACCGTGTCCCCACCGCTACCACCAGCCATCCTGTCCCCCTGGGGACAATCCGGGCTCCGTGTCCCAGAGCAGGTTTGGGTGCCCATGGCAGCTCCTGGCAGCTGAAGGTGCCCCAGTTTGGTGCTGGATGTGGGATTGTCCCCCTTCCAGCCGGGTGGCATGTCTGGTGACAATCCTGGGATGCCACCTGCCTGCATGTCCCTCCCATGTGTCCCTTCCATGGGCATCCCTCAGTTTTCTTGGATGTTACCCAGATTTGGGTGCTCCTGGCAGCTTAGGTGCCCCAGTTTGGTGCTGGATGTGGGACTGTCCCCTTCCCATCAGCGTGGCACGTCCAGTGACAATCCTGAGATGCCACCTGCCCATGTGTCCCTTCCATGGGCATCCTTCAATTTTCTTGGATGTTATCCAGGTTTGGTGCTCCTGGCAGCTGAAGGTGCCTCTGGTTTGTCTGGGATTGTCCCCCTTCCATCAGGGTGGCATGTCTGGTGACAGTCCTGAGATGCCACCTGTCCATGTGTCCCTCCCATGGGCCTGCTTGGGTGTTATCCATATTTGGGTGCCTGTGGCTGCTCCTGGCAGCTGAAGTTGCCCCAGTTTGGTGCTGGGTGTGGGATTGTCCCCCTTCCATCAGGGTGGCATGGCCAGGGACAGTCGTGGGATGTCACCTGTCCATGTGTCCCTCCCATGGGTATTGCTTGGATGTTACCCAGATTTGGGTGCTCCAGGCAGCTTAGGTGCCCCAGTTTGGTGCTGGATGTGGGACTGTCCCCTTCCCATCAGCGTGGCACGTCCAGTGACAATCCTGAGATGCCACCTGCCCACGTGTCCCTCCCACGGGCATCCCTCGGTTTTCTCCGGCACCATCCAGGTGCAGAATCCAGGAGGTTCTCCTGCAGCTGTCACAGCGCGTCCCCGTCCCCTCCCGCAGGTGCCATGGAGATCCAGGTGCCGGAGGAGCCCGTGGTGGCCCTGTTTGGCCACGACGCCACCCTGCTGTGCTCCTTCTCTCCCGACGCCAACTTCAGCGTGGCTGAGCTGAGCCTCATCTGGCAGCTGACGGACACCAAGCGCCTGGTGCACGGCTTCTCCGGGGGCCGCGACCGGCTGCAGGACCAGGGCCGCGGCTACGCCAACCGCACGGCGCTCTTCTACGACCAGCTGCCGCGGGGCAACGTGTCCCTGCTGCTGCGCCGCGTGCGCATCGCCGACGAGGGCAGCTTCACCTGCTTCGTGCGCGTGCGCGACTACAGCAGCGCCGCCGTCGCGCTGCAGGTGGCGGGTGAGGAGCACGGGAGGCCGGGGAGTGACGGCTGCGCCGCCCCAAAATGTTCCTGGGGTGGTGTGATCCGTGCCCTGCTGAGGCTCCTGGCTGAGGGGCCTCCTCAGCCAGCTGAGGATGGGTTTAGCAGCTGGAAGAGTTCGTCCCAATCCTGGCTGGGCCAGCTCCCCATCCCGATCCTCACTCTGGCACCCGACTTGTCCCCAAAATGTTCCCTGGGCAGTGTAATCCGTGCCCTGCTGAGGCTCCTGGCTGAGGGGCCTCCTCAGCCAGCTGAGGATGGGTTTAGCAGCTGGAAGAGCTTGTCCCAATCCTGGCTGGCCCAGTTCCCCATCCCAATCCTCACTCTGGTGCCCTCTTATCTCCTGCTGTGCCTCCCCAAAATATTCCTTGGGCAGCGCGATCCACGCCCTGCCTCAATGGAGAGGGGCCACGTGTGCTAGCAGTGGCCCACAGATGAGAATGGATTTAGCAGCTGGAAGAGTCCATCCCAATCCTGGCTGGCCAAGTTCCCCATCCCAATCCTCACTGTGGTCCCCTCTTATCTCCTGCTGTGCCTCCCCAAAATATTCCTTGGGCAGCGCGATCCACGCCCTGCCTCAATGGAGAGGGGCCACGTGTGCTAGCAGTGGCCCACAGATGAGAATGGATTTAGCAGCTGGAAGAGTCCATCCCAATCCTGGCTGGCCAAGTTCCCCATCCCAATCCTCACTGTGGTCCCCTCTTATCTCCTGCTGTGCCTCCCCAAAATATTCCTTGGGCAGCACAATCTGTGCCGTGCCTCGATAGAGAGGGGCCACGTGTGCCAGCAGTGGCCCTCAGCTGAGGATGGCCTTGGCACTGCAAGATCCCAATCCTGGCAGCTGCAAGATCCCAATCCCGGCTGGCCCCGCTCCTGATGCCAGTCCTCTCTCCTGTCCCCCCTGTCCCCACAGCTCCCTACTCCAAGCCCAGCGTGCACCTGGAGCCCAGCAAGGACCTGAAGCCGGGCGACGTGGCCGAGGTGACGTGCCACGCGTCCCGCGGCTACCCCGAGGCCAGCGTGCTGTGGCAGGACAGCCGGGGTGCCAACCTGACTGCCAACGTCACCACGTGGCAGGTGGCCAACGAGGAGGGGCTCTTCGAGGTGCGCAGCGTCCTGCGCGTGCTGGTGGAGCCCAGCGTCACCTACTCGTGCCTGGTGCTGAACGCCGCGCTGCGCCAGCACGGCCACGCCTCTGTCACCATCACGGGTGAGCCGGGGACAGGGAGGTGGCACTGCCACCCACAGCCAGCCAGGAGAGCTGGGGGAGGTGGCACTGCTACCCAAGGCCACCCAGGAGGGCAGGGCGAGGTGACAGTGGCACCCAAAGCCAGCCAGGAGAGCTGGGGGAGGTGGCACTGCCACCCAGAGCCAGCCAGGAGGCATTATTGGAGGTGACTGTGGTGGCACCCAGGATGGCTGGGGGAGGTGACCATGGTGGCACCCAGAAGGGTTGGGGAAGGTGACCTTGGTGGCACCCAGGAGGGGCTGTGGGAGGGGGCAGCGCCACCCAGAGCCAGCCAGGAGGCATTATTGGAGGTGACTGTGGTGGCACCCAGGATGGCTGGGGGAGGTGACACTGCTGACACTGGCACCCAAAGCCACCCAGAAGGGGATGGAGGAGGTGACACTGCCACCCAAAGCCACCCAGGAAGCATTGGGGAAGGTGACCGTGGTGGCACCCAGGAGGGGCTGTGGGAGGTGGCAGCGCCACCCAGAGCCAGCCAGAGGGTGGATGTTGGGAAGGGATTCCCGGCTGGGCTGGCATTCCCAGAGTAGCTGTGGCTGTCCCTGGATCCCTGGCAGTGTCCCAGGTGGGGCTTGGAACAGCCTGGGACAGTGGGAGGTGGCACTGCCCATGGTAGGGGGTGGCAGCAGGTGACCTTCAGGACTTCCATGGAGACATTCCGTGCCCCCAGGAAGCAGTTCCTGGGGCTGGGTTGTGACCCAGCCTGGACGTGGGATCATCCTGGGTCATCCTGGATCACGGTGGGGGTCACCCTCAGTGCTGGAGCACCCTGGATGTGGGATCACCCTGGATGTGGGATCACCCTGGATATGGGGTCACCCTGGATGTGGGATCACCCTGGATGTGGGATCATCCTGGATCATCCTGAGTGCTGGGTCACCCCAGATGTGGGATCACCCCAGATGTAGGATCACCCTGGATATGGGATCACCCTGGCAATGGGATCACCCTGGATATGGGATCACCCCCGATGTGGGATCACCCTGGCTATGGGGTCACCCCTGATGTGGGATCATCCTGGATGTGGGATCATCCTGGATGTGGGATCACCCCAGATGTGGGATCACCCTGGATGTGGGTTTACCCTCAATGTTGCATCATCCTGGGTTTTGGGGCATCCTGGCTGTGGGGTCACCCCAGATGTGGGATCACCCTGGCAATGGGATCACCCTAGCAATGGGATCACCCTGGCAATGGGATCACTCTGGATATGGGATCACCCAGCTGTGGGATCACCCTGGCAATGGGATCACTCTGGATATGGGGTCACCCAGCTGTGGGATCACCCTGGCAATGGGATCACTCTGGATATGGGATCACCCCAGCTGTGGGATCACCCTGGCAATGGGATCACTCTGGATATCGGGTCACCCAGCTGTGGATCACCCTGGCAGTGGGGTCACCCCACCATTCCCGGGTGCTGATCCAGGCCCTTTTCCGTCCCTCCCCGCAAGGCCAGCCCCTGGCATTCCCGGCGGTGGCCCTGTGGGTGACAGTGGCCCTGGCCGTGTGCGTGGTGGCCCTGCTGGGCGTGCTGGCCTTCGTGTGCCACCAGAAGATCCGGGAGAGCTGCCGGGAGGACGAGGAGCGTGCAGGTGAATCCCGGGAAAGCTGGGAGGGGACGGATGGGGGTGGCAGCAGAGGGACCCGTCCGTCCCTCCCCGCAAGGCCAGCCCCTGGCATTCCCGGCGGTGGCCCTGTGGGTGACAGTGGCCCTGGCCGTGTGCGTGGTGGCCCTGCTGGGCGTGCTGGCCTTCGTGTGCCACCAGAAGATCCGGGAGAGCTGCCGGGAGGACGAGGAGCGTGCAGGTGAATCCCGGGAAAGCTGGGAGGGGACAGATGGGGGTGGCACCAGAGGGACACCAGGGAGTGGCACTGCCACGCCTGTCCCCTTTTCCCGTGGCCGTGACATCTCCAGCACCTCCGGGCTCCTTTCCCACATCCCTTTCCCATTTTGGGTCGTATTCCACATTTTTATGGGGTGCTGTTTGCACCACAGGGGGATTTGTTCCCAAAAAACGTCCTGGGATCTGGCACCCTCAGGAATTACCTTTATTCCATGGATTCTGCTCCCAGTTTCCCTCTGGAATTACCTTTTTTCATGGATTTTGCTCCCAGTTTCCCCTGGGAATTAACTTTTTTCTATTTTTTTTTTTTTCCCATGGATTTGGCTCCCACTTTTCCTCAGGAATTATCTTTTTCCATGGATTTGCTCCCAGTTTCCCTCTGGAATTACCTTTTTTCATGGATTTTGCTCCCAGTTTCCCCCGGGAATGAACTTTTTTCTATTTTTTTTTTCCCATGGATTTGGCTCCCACTTTTCCTCAGGAATTATCTTTTTCCATGGATTTGCTCCCAGTTTCCCTCTGGAATTACCTTTTTTTCCATGGATTTTGCTCCCAGTTTCCTCAGGAATTAGCTTTTTCCCATGGTTTTCTTCCATGGATTTGCTCCCAGTTTTCCTTGGGAATTGCCTTTTTACCATGGATTTTTTCCATAGATTTTGCCCCCAGATTCCCTCAGGAATGTCCTTTTTCCATGGATTTTGCTCCCAGTTTCTATTGGGAATTACCTTTTTTCCATGTTTTTTTTTTCCCATGGATTTTGCTCTCACTTTCCCTCAGGAATCACCTTTTTTCCATGGATTTTTTCCATTGTTCTTGCCCCCAGTTTCCTTTGGGAATGACCTTTTTTCCATGGATTTTCCTCCCAGTTTCTCTTGGGAATGACCTTTTTTCCATGGGTTTTTTGCATGAATTTTGCTCCCAGTTTCCCTTGGGAATTGCCTTTTTTCCTTGGGTTGTGATCCCAGTTTCTATTGGGAATTACCTTTTTTCCATGGGATTTTTCCCATGGATTTTGCTCCCTGTTTCTATTGGGAATTACCTTTTTTCCATGGATTTTTCCATGGATTTTGCTCCCAGGAACAGCAGCAGGGGGTGAGCGCCTCCCAGGATGCCAGTGGGTGCTGGAGGGAGGGAAGAGCCTCCAGTTTGGGGTATCCCAGATTTTGGGGGATCCAGGGATCCTCTCCAGGCGGTTTTTAGCTGTGCCAAACCCACGGTGTCCCTCGGAGCTGGGGCTTTTCCCGCTGGGATTTTCAGGAATGTGGCGCCCTGGAAAGGCCAGGATGCTGCAAGGGGCACCCCCAGAATCCCAGGAATGGGGTTCCCACCTCGGGATCCTTGTTTTCCAGGGCCAGAGGAGCGGGATGAGGAGGGGGAGGAGCCCAAGACAGGTGGGTGCCCCGTCCTGGGTCGGGGTGGCGCTCCGGGCGCTCGGCCCCTTCCCTATTCCCGATTTTCTGACAGCCCTGACCCTGGATAAACCTCCCCATTCCCAAATCAAACCTCCCCATCCCTTAATAAACCTCCCCATTCCTCAATAAAATCTCCCAATTCCCAAATAAAACCTCCAAATTCCCCCATAAAGTGACAGAATTCCTTAATCAAACCTCCCAAATCCTTAAGAACCCTCCCCATTCCTTAATAAAATCTTCCAATTCCTGAGTAAAACCTCCCAAGTTCCATAATAAAAGCACCCAATTCCTTAATAAACCTCCCCATTCCCAAATCAAACCTCCCCATTCCTTAATAAACCTCCCCATTCCTTAATAAAACCTCCTCATTTCTTAATAAATCTCCGCGTTCCTTAATAAATCTCCCCATTCCTCAATAGGATCTCCAAATTCCCAAATAAAACCTCCAAATTCCTTAATAAAATGACAGAATTCCTTAATCAAACCTCCCAATTCCTTAATAAACCTCCCAATTCCTTAAGAAAATGACAGAATTCCTTAATAACACCTCCCAGTTCCTTAATAAACCTCCCCATTCCTAATAGAATGACAGAATTCCCAAATAAAACCTTCATATTTCTTTAATAAAATGACAGAATTCCTTAATAAAATCTCCCCATTCCTTAAAAAACCCCCTAATTCTGAATAAAACCTCCTCATTCCTCAATTAAATGACAGAATTCCATAATAAAATCTCCCAATTCCATAATAAAACCTCCAATTCCTTAATAAAATGACAGAATTCCTGAATAAAACCTCCCAGTTCTTTAATAAAATAACAGAATTCTCAAAGAAAGCTTTCCAATTCCTTAATAAAATCTGCCAAGTCCCAAACAGAACCTCCCAATTCCTTAATAAAATGCCAGAATTCCCAGATAAAATCTCCCAATTCCTTAACAAAATGACAGGATTCCTTACTAAAACCTCCCAATTCCCTAATAAAGTAGCAAAATTCCCAAATAAAACCTCCCAATTCAGTGATTTCCCAGCATCCAGCAGCTCCACGATGTTCTGGGGGATTCCCTTTATCCACTGGCACAGGACCAAACCCTTGGAATTCTGCAGGGAAATTGGGAACGGGGTCACTTTTGGGGTTTATCCCCCAAAAATGGGATTTTTGGAGCTGTTTCCTTTGGGAATGGGATGGGATTGACCACGGGATGTTTTTCCCTTTTCCCAGCTCTGCAGCTGCTGGAAAACACGGAGAGCAGAGAGGGTGAGTGGATGTTTCTGGCAAATCCGGGATCATTCCCCTTTTCTCCCTAAAATCCACGTGGGAAACATTTGTCAGGGGGATTTCCCCTTTCCAATTTTCATTTTCCCATGGGTTTTCCATCAGCTTTTCCCAGATTATGGTTTTCCATTTCCCAGTTTTTCCTGGTTTTTCCTGGTTTCTCCCAGCATCCAGCACCTCCTGCATCCCTCATCCCTCCTTTTCCCCACTGCTCTGGGATTGGGAAAAGCCTCCCCACACCCAACCCTGGAAGGAATTTGGGTTTTTTTTTGGAGTTGCTATGGATTTTCTGGGATGATGGGAATTGCTGGGGTTGGAAAAGGATTCAGAGTTTTCCCAGTGTGGAAAAGGATCCGGAGTTTTCTGAGCCTGGAAAAGGATCTGGATTTTCCCAAGCTGCAGCCCCATTAATCCATTAGTGTACTAATGTATCAATTTATCGAGGCATCAATCTATTAATTTATCAATTTATTTATTTATTTATTTATTTACTAGTCCATTAATCCATTACTTCATTAATCAATTGATTCATTAATTCCTTAATAATTGATTTACTAATTCATTAATCTGTTCTTCATTAATTCATTAATCCATTGATTTGTCAGTCCCATCCCTGCAGTTCGATGTTTTCCCTCTCGATTCCCTTTCCCCCGCCCAGGTCGGGAGCAGGAGCAGGAGCAGGAGCAGGAGATCGATTGACGGCAGCCCCGGAGCGCCGGCCCCGCCCGCGGGTCCCCGAGCGAGCGGCGACACCCGGGGAGGTGACACGCCCGGGGAGGTGACATTTCCAAGCCGGTGACACCCCCGGGGCAGCGACAACCCTGGGGCTGCGAAACCCCCGGGAGCAGGAGATCGATTGACGGCAGCCCCGGAGCCCCGGCCCCGCCCGCGGGTCCCCGAGCGAGCGGCGACACCCCCGGGGAGGTGACACGCCATTTCCAAGCCGGTGACACCCCCGGGGCAGCGACAACCCTGGGGCTGGGAAACCCCCGGCTCGGTGACACCCCCGGCTCGGTGACACCTCCAGCCTGGTGACACCTCCAGCCTGGTGACACCCCTGGCTCAGTGACACCCCCGGCTCGGTGACACCCCCGGGGCGCCCCAGCGAGGACGACCCGGAGCTGCCGCCTCCCCCATCCCATTCCCGTTCCCCGCCTCCCGTCCTTCCCGGGAAAGGTGGGGTGAGGATCTGCCCGGTGTCCCCTTGTCCTTCTGCGTGTCCTTGTGTCCATCCCAGGGGGACATTCCCGTTCCCTGCTCTGGTGCTGCTCCGGGCGCCTTTCCCCACCCTTCCTGAGCCCGGAGCCTCGGGAATGGCGGCCGGAGCGCGGGGGGCTCCGGGAGCCCCTTCCCCACGCTCCTTTTCCCGCTCCCTGAGTCCCTCCGGACTCGTCCTGGCCTTAAACGCTGGATCCCGGCGGGGTTTGTCCCACTGGAACGATCCCAGGGCGTTTTTGGGAAGGGGGCACCCGCTGGCCGGGTGAGGTCCTGCCATGGGGACATCTCTGGGGACATCCTGAGCTCGTCATTCCTGTGGGATTGGTGGCTCTGGGCGTGTCCCGGGGTCCCCCCAGCGCCGTTGGGGAGATGGGGACACCCCGAGTGCTGTTGGAGCATCCCTGTCCCGCTCCAGAGCGCGGGAAGTCCCCAGGGGCTCCTTGGGTCGAGTCCTTCTTTAAAATCCGGGATCTGGAGGGTTTCTCGTGCCTTGACAAATAAATTTGGGACCGTGTCGGTCGATCCCTCCCGGCTCCATGTGCTCCATGGGGTTTGGCCAGGAATGGTGTAAGGATTGAGATTCCAGGAGGAAAAGATTCCCTGGGCCGGTCAGAAAATACCCCAGGGATGCCCAAGCTGGCTCCTAAATTAAATCCTGTTGCTGAGATGGGATGGAAATTCCTGGGAGATCCTTCACAATGGGGTGGGAATTCCTGGGAGATCCTTCTCAATGGGGTGGAAATTCCTGAGGGATCCTTACCCATGGGGTGGGAATTCCTGGGGGATCCTTCCTGGGGCCCTTCCTGAATCCCTGTGGGGGATGGTTTTTGGTTGTCCTTCCCCACTCTCGGCATCCCAATGGGAGAACATTCCCAAAATCCAGCCTGCGAGAAGCGTGCTGGCCTCAGGCTGGGATGGATGGATGGATGGATGGATGGATGGATGATGGATGGATGGGTGGATGATGGATGGATGGGTGGATGATGGATGGATGGGTGGATGATGGATGGATGGATGGTGGTCCCAACTCCTCCCCTTGGACTTCTGCATTGCTTTCCCACCCCAAAGCTGCTCGAGAATACAGCTCCTCCCATCTGAATTAACCATCAGGAGCCAAAGTGGCATTTTTGGCTCAGAAAAACCTTGGAAAAGCCTCATGCCAGGAATGTTCCGGGGTGGAAATGTGTCCCTGCAGGATGAGGCGCCAGCGGGAAGGACACGGGAACATAGTCCCGGGAACAGCTGCTGCTCTGACCCCTTTAGATACCTTGGAAAAACGCCCAGGGTGGATTTGGAGCTCCAGATTCCTTTGTTTCCAAGCAGGACCTGATTTCTTTCCCTGAAAAATCAGCATTTGGACGTGGAAAGGAGGGATTAGGGAGCTCAGGCAAAGTGGGACTTTTTTCAGATGGATGCAGAACTCGGGGTCAGGGATATTTCCGCTGGAAAAGTTGAGAATTGAGGGGGGAGGAGATCCCAAGGCAGTCTCCTCGTTCCTGAGGTTTTGGTGATCCCCTCATTGTCCCTCTTGGAGTTGGGAATCATATTCCAGTGGCATCCCAGGGATATCCAGGAGCGAACCTATTTCCATCCTGACTCCCCTCAGCCAGAAAAGTCTGATCCCACTGATTTTCCCTAAACCAAACATGGATAACGCATCCCAGGGAAGCGAAATTCCCCCTCCCTTATCCTGCCACCCCCTCCAGCATTCCCACATCCCTGTGCCATTCCCACCCTCCAGAAGAGCTGGCCAGGCAGAGCTGGCACATCCATGTCCTGGTCAGGATTTCTCTGTGCTGGATGAATTATTGAGCTCCTTCTATCCTTTCAAAAAAAAAAAAAAAATTAAATTCCCTGAGCCTGGAAAACTGTTGGGATATCGGGATACCGGGATATCGGGATACTGTGATATTGGGATATTTGTTGCCACCTTCTCACTCAGCGTTTATGAGGAGTACGGATTTATTGAAATATATATTTATATTTATATATAGATCTTTTCCAGCCCCTTTCCCAGGGATTTTCCCCCTCCCCCAAACCCTTTCCAAACCCAGATCTGGGCTCAGTTTTTGTTGGGAATTCTCTGCCTGGCCGGGACGTATGGCAGCAACGTCTGCGTGCTCTTATCGGCCACGGTCTGGGTGCTGCTGTTCCTCGTGGCCCTGTGGATCGGGATCACGCCCGGGTTCCTCGGGAACTGCTCCCGAGGCCCCTTCCTGGCAGGATCATCGGGAATGTCGGTGCCATCATCGGCATCGCCGTCATCGTCGCAGCACAGGGCGTGGTAGAGCACCTTGTCGCTGAAGCGGACGCGCTCCCGCGTCCCCGCCGGACGCTGCGCCGGGATTTTGGGAACGGTGGCGCTCCCAAAACATTCCTCACTGGAGGAATCCGGGGTCCCCCCGCCCCCGCGGGGGCCGTTGGCCACGGGGACCCCGCCGTTCATCAGCCGGGCCGGCGGCGGCCGCGGAGGCTCTGGGCAGTCGCCGGGGTCCGAGGGCGTGGAGGTGTCCAGGAAGGAGCAGAATTCCCAGCTGTCCGAGAGGACGTCGGAGGCGGCGAAGTCCAGCGGGCCCAGCTCAAGGCTGGCCCCGCCCCGGTCGCTGCTGGACGTGCTGCTGGCCGTGGCCGGAGTCCAAGCGTCCGGCTCCAGGTCCAGAGCGAAGTCCGACGTCAGGCGGTCGATCTGGGACACGACCTGTGGAGAGAGAGATGGACACGGGGATGGATGGATGGATGGATGGATGGATGGATGGATGGATGGATGGATGATGGATGACAGATGGATGGATGGATGGATGGATGGATGGATGGATGGATGATGGATGGATGGATGGATGATGGATGATGGATCAATGGATGGATGGATGGATGGATGATGGATGGATGTTTGAATGATGGATGGATGGATGGATGGATGGATGGATGGATGATGGATGGATGGATGGATGGATGGACGATGGATGGATGGTTGGATGATGGATGATGGATGGATGATGAATGGATGGATGATGGATGATGCATGGATGGATGAATGGATGGATGGATGATGGATGGATGGATGATGGATGGATGGATGGATGGATGATGGATGGATGTTGGATGATGAATGATGGATGGATGATGAATGGATGATGGATGGATGGATGATGGAGGGATGGATGGATGGATGATGGAGGGATGGATGGATGGATGATGGAGGGATGGATGGATGGATGATGGAGGGATGGATGGATGGATGATGGAGGGATGGATGGATGGATGATGGAGGGATGGATGGATGATGGATGGTTCCAACTCCTCCCCATTGGACTTCTGTGTTGTTTTCCCACCCCAAAACTTCCAGGGAAAGTGGGATCTCTCCATCCCTCAAGCTTTGGCTTTGAAGCTTGTTGGGAATATCCCCGGGTAAGCCTGGAAATCAGGAAAACTCCTTTTCCCTTTCCAGATCCCTTTTCCTTTTATTTTTTCTTCTTTTTAGGAGAAGAAAGAGCTAAACTTGAGAAAGAGAGTAAAAAAAGGGATTTTCTGATCCCTTCATTTTTGGGGCAATTCAAAATGGGGAAGAAGGCTTTGAGTTTTGGGAATACCCCATTACCAAATGGTTCTGCTGGAATGGGATCCCCTCTGTTCCCAACGGGAATTTCACTGCTCGGTCAGGGCCAGCATGTCCCTGCCACATGAGGTCCCTTCCCAGCCTCACTGAAGGGACTGGAATCGAGCAGATACAGCAGGAAGTGCATCCTAATCCCATTCCCAATCCCTGCTCCATTCCAGGATTGGTGCCACTCATGGCTGTCCTCATCCCAATCCTGTCCCCATCCCAATCCTGTCCCCATCCTGATCCTGTCCCCATCCCGGGTGTCACTTGTGTCTGTCCCCATCCTAATCCCAAATCCATCCCAATCCCCTGCCCATCCCAGGATTGGTACAACTCATTCCTGTCCCCATCCCAGTCCTGTCCCCACCCCAATCCTTTCCCTATCCCAGTCCTGTCCCCATGCCGGGATTGGTGCCACTCATGGCTGTCCCAATCCAAATCTCATTAGCAGCCCAATCTTTTCCCCATCCCAATCCTGTTCCCTTCCCTATCCCACCCCATCCCAGGATTGGTGTCACTCGTGCCTGTCCCCAATCCAAAACCAATCCTAATCCCGATGCCGTCCCCATCCTGGGGTTGGTGTTAATTGTGGCTGGTCCCATCCCAATCCTGTCCTCTGGGACTGATGCCACTCACAGCTATCCCCATCCCAATCTCAATCCCGTCCCCATCCCGGGATTGGTGTCACTTGTGGCTGTTCCCATCGCAGGATTAGTGTCACTCCTGGCTATTTTTAGGATCATTCCCTATTTTAAACCGCAGGTTAAATCCCCCGGTGACACTCAGCTCCCGCGGGGGATTAACACGGAAAGAAGGATTTGGGATTTGCTCCCCCCCTTTTCCTCCCTTGCTGAGGCTGGCGGAGCTTTTCCAGCTTGGAGGGGGAAAAATCCCCCCAATTTCTCAGGAATATCCCCAGGGATTCACCCCAAATTTCCTCCCCTGTTTATAGGGGGAAAATCCCCCCAGTTCCCTGGGAACATCCCCAGGGATTCATCCCAAACCTGATTTCCTGCTTGT